AATGTGACAGTCAAAGTGTTATACACCTGTCAAAGAATTCAATCTATCATGAGCGAATCAAGCACATCGATGTGAGGCTGCATTTCGTCAGAGGAGTAATCGGGCATGGAGAAGTCCAAGTGCTGAAGGTTTCGACTGATCACAATATTGCGGATATGATCACCGACATTACCAAGTTGTAAGTTTTTTCACTGTATGTAGTTGATAAAGCTGCATGAAGAAAGCTAGTTTATTCCCTGGTGTTATATGGCTTGTTCCGAGGTGGATATTTGTGAGATATTTGAATGAACTCTAGTATGATCGAAGGATAACTTTTTGGTTCGACAATTCGATAAAATCTAAGCATGAGGCCGAAACTGATTCGTATGCCGGAGTCAAAGACCTGCAATATTGTAGTTGAAATATGTTTAAGTATAAAGTAGTCAAAATATTAACATTATTAACATGTTCAATCTGTCATTTTGTGATTATAGAATTGTGGTCTAAGAGTTTGCCTTAACTCTTATAAGTTGATTTTTCTTCTCCAATCATTGCTATTTATTTGAATCTTCTTGAATGCTTTGATTTATGAGTATTTTGTGGTTTTTCCCTAGGGGCAATGGTCATAAGTAGGGGTGTTCAAAACCAAACCGGCCCAATAGAAAATCGCAAAACCGAACCGAATCAAACTGAAATCGCAAAAAACCGCATTTGGTTCAGATGTGTTTGGGTCATTTTCTCGTGGAACTGCATGGTTCGGTTCGGTTTGCGGTTTGTATTTTACAAACCGAACCAAACCAAACAAAACCGCATTATGTTATAAAATCTTACTAACCAATATATATTTCTATAATTCTTTAGAGAAATCAACATGTATTATGCGTATATTTTATCATACTTTGTATTATATTCATTTTAATTTACAAATCATAAAAAATAAAATATTATTCATTTATAAATACTATTTTCACAAAATATATTTTATCATATTCTTTGTATAATATTTATTTAAGAATGCAATCTTGTTGATATCATTATTTATATTTAGATAAAATTATAATACGCAATTTTATGTATCAAATTATAAATTTATTTTGACAATTATAATTTTTTTATGGTAATGTATGAACAATTAAATATAAAATTATATTTTCCTATATATTTGTATGTATGACATAATAATTATTTTTGTAAAAAACCGAAACAACCGAACCAATCCAAACCACATTAGTTTGGTTTGGTTTGGTTCAGATTTATTTTTAAAAGCCAACCGAACCAAACCGCATGTTTTTTTCTCTTGCGGTTCAGATGATTTTTTGCTTCAAAACCGTCCAAATCGCACCGCGAACACCCCTAGACATAAGCTATTTTGATATGACTTTTGAGTTGTTTGCGATAATTTAAGTTATAAACTTATTTTGTTATCAATTAATAAAATATATATTTATAATAATTATTTGGATAAGATGTTTTTATTTTTTTCAAAAATAATTTATTGAAACTTGATACAAATCAAAATCATTTTTTATTTTGAATATTTTTAATTTAAAGTTGAAAAGATTTGACTAAATCATTTCACTTTGACGCTGTTTAATCATATCCTTCTGTATTAATTCACATTTTTTTTATACTTAAAATATAATGTTTTTGAAATATAAGGCATATAAGTATTTGATAATTTTATACTATTCATAGAATATTTATTTCCTTGTTTTGAATACACATCTCAAATGAATATTATCAAATACACATCATAATTTATTGATGTATAATGTTTCTGTTAATGCTTTATCACTTTTTATTTATAATCCAAAAGTATGTAAATCAATTAAATATAAATACTTTATTACATATAAAATCCACTTTTTGAAAACTCGGTAAATTATTATATTATGATATAATTTGTTATAATTATATAAGTTTTAATTAATATTATATTTATTCCGTATAGTTCTCATTAATAATTTATTTTATGATTTTGATTATGGTTTAGTGGTTGTTCTAGCATAATGAATTGTTTATTTTATATCTCATTAAGAGTGAATTGTTTACATTGTGTCTTTATGTCGATGACTTGTTAATAATAAGTAGATATAAGAAATAGATCGAAGACTTCAAAGGTGATCTTGGTAAGGAGTTTGAAATATATGATCTGGACAATATTTTATACTTCCTCGGTATCTAATTCTACAAGAGTAGTAGATGCTTGATGATGCATCAAAGAAGATAGGCAAGTGAAATACTCAAAAGATTTGAGATAGAATACTGCAATGCGACTTCGACACCTAGTGAATCAAGATTGCAACAGTCGAAAGACTTAGATGAAGATAATGTAGACCCAACACATTACAGAAGACTTATTGGATCATTAAGATACCTTTGTCACACAAGACATGCTCTAGCTTACAGTGTAAGTATGGTGAGTAGATTCATGCAAAAGCCAAAGATATCACATCTAGCAGCGACGAAGAGGATACTAAGGTATCTAAAAGGAACTTTCAACTATGACATTTTATTTCCTACAACCAATGAAGGAAAAGAATGCAATCCAGTGGATTACACCGACTCAAGTTGGTGTAGTGATGTTAATGATAGAAAATCCACAACCGATTATGTGTTTATTTTAGGTGGTGCACCAGTTGCTTAAAACTCAAGAAAAAATCAGTAGTAGCACTATCATCGTATGAAGCAAAGTACATAGTTGTTTCTCTTTGTGCATGCCAAACAACATGGATGGTGACTTTGGTCGAAGAAATTACAGGAAAGAATCATGGAACAATTACCATGAAGATCGACAACATGTCATCTATCAATATGGTGAAGAATCTGATAGCACATAGAAGAAGCAAACACATCAAAATGAGGTTCCATTATCTTCGAGAACACGTAGCAAAAGGGAAGTTGGACTTTGAACACTGCAGAACTGAGAATTAGATTGCAGACATCATGACGAAGAGTGTGCAAGTTGAAGTGTTCAAAAGACTAAGAACAATGATGAGTATAGATAATTTAGACATAATGAATTATATGATGTGCTGTGAATGTAATTCTTCATGTCAAAACACCATTTCGACAATGTTTGTTGTTGTCGAAATGCTTTGTGTGTCGAAATTGTATAGTTTTTGAAATGTAGAAGGAGTGTATCTCGACATAAATTTAGACTTAGCTTTATTTTGTATTTTTAGCTGAGTTAGGTTAGTTGGAGATTGCTTGGTGTGTAAGCAATCTCAACTTATGATAGGGAGGTATCCTATCATTGTAATATTGCAGTTGTATAGAGAAAAGGTTGAATAAAATCTCAGTTGAGAGCAGAGAGAAACTCTGCAAAAATATTCCTCTTCTTTCATTTTTCTTCCAACCCCTAATTTCTCTTTTCTTTCCCAATTCATATTTTCTTTTCTTCTCTCATAATCATTATGAAGCGAAATTATCTTACAACCAAGGTGTGATTGATTCACTTAAGTGAAGAGTGAAGAACAAAAGACAAAATTAATCGAAAGAATTGATTCTTGTTCATCAAGATTGATTCAGAATTCTCCAAATTTTGAGAGTAATTCCAACAAAATTCTGAGGAAATCTTCCTTTAAGGTGCGACTCGGAGAAAATAAAGGAGACACATCGTCGTCATATGATTGAGCGATTTCATAAAGAATGAGAATGATGATTTGTTAATCTTATTGATTTTTTTTCTTTCTTTATGAATTTGTATAATGAGAAATTTCTATTCAAATGACCAACTTTTTCAAATAAATTTTCAAACTAACTCACTTTCTCACGTATTCTAACTCACTTTCAAACCAAAAAATTCTTAATACAGAAGAGTCGCCAATCTAATTGGCAATAGTGTACAACAGATAAGAAAAGTCGCGAATTCAATCGATGACAACGCACAAACACGTAAGAGAGAGAGAGAGAATACAATACACTCTCTCCCTTATGTGTTTTTACATGGTCATTGATTGAATTGACAACTCCTTTTATGTATTGTACACTATGGCCAATTAAATTAGAGACTCCTTTGTATTAATTTTTATTTATTTAAAAGTAAATTAGTTTGAGAAATATATAAAAAGTGAATTAATTTGAATATTTATTTAAAAAAATGAGTTATTTAAATAAAATTTTCATATAATAATATACATATTAGAGATGGTGAATATTTGATAAAGCTCTAAAGTTATTTAAAATATTAATATAATAACTTTTTTGTTTTTATTTATTATTTTAAAACACATCATCCACTTATATGTATTGACAATATTATCATATAAGATCCGTTAGTAATACTTAATCAAATGGATTAAAATTGAGAATGAGAAAGTTTAGAAAAATTATTAATTATTTTTCTAAAATGACCAAAAATAAATACTGAAATATTTACAAAAATTTATACCATATTTAAATATATTGGTAGTAGATTTTATGAATAAGTTAAATTTCTAATTCTAATTTATCAACATCTTTTATTTGTGTTTGAATTTCATGGTTTCCCGAAAAAGAAAAAAAATTCAAGCACGAAATGCATCTGGCTTAGTTTTGCGATTCCATACAAACACAAAATGCATTTGACATGCTTTCTTAAAAGAAAAAAAGAAAAATTATTATACCTTCATTGATTTTTCCAACTAAAAAAGGTGTGGTGGGATCCAAATTTGAGGGCGTGAAAAGTCAATTCCTCTTACCTAGCAAAGTACTCCTTTTCCTTCATATTTCCCTTCCATTTCCTTCATTCTCTGCACAATTCATTTCTAATCACACGTTATTCTTTCACTTCATTCATCACTGTAACCTAGTTTCTCTGATTTATCGATCCTTCTCAACACAGGTAATTTTTCGCGTTCAATTTCTACATTCCATAACATTGCAAAGATCTCGATTATTTTCGATTTGAATCGAGTGCGAAGTTGCGAACCGAGTATTGTTGAGATTTGTTTTATGCGTACTGAATTTTAACCTGATTTGTTGATTTTAACGATATTGATGACGATGATGATGGTGATTTATGTTTTAGTTCGATTGCGATGGCTAGAAAGATGCTTAACGATGGCGAACCTGATTTGAAGATAGGTGAAGAACAAGGGAAGAATTATGACTTTGATTTGTTTATTATTGGTGCTGGTAGTGGCGGTGTTCGTGCTGCTAGATTTTCTTCTAATTTTGGAGCAAAGGTTCATCATAACTACATTCTCATTTGAATCTTTTTCTTTTTCTTTTTGATGATTAGGATCTGTTTAGATTTGTTTATTTGAACTTTTCTATTGGCTACCTCTTTTAAGAAAGTATGTTAGTGTAGTGTTTCCGGAGTCCGATGTGACACTCCTATGAAAAGAGCTTATTTTACATGTCTATAAGATGTTTACAATTCATTTCCATAAACTCTCTAGGATAGCTTATTGAAAAGAACTTGTAGATTATACAGAAACAATTTGAATTTATTTTATTGTGTTAAAAAAAAGGCTTATTCATAAGCGCTTATATGATAAGTGCTTATGCTAGAAGCTGCAAAATAAGTTGTTTATTCGAACAGGCCCTTAATATGTTGATTAATCTGTGACAACATTTTTTGTCTATTATTCATGCTAATCTCGTGTAAATATGAGTTACTTATTTTATTTTCTCGAAGTTTATTAAAGAAACTATTAAGAAATACCTAGAGATTAAGGGGATGTTTGGATGAATGAATTAATTGATGGAATGGAAGGGAACAGAATAAATTCATGTTCCGTTGCTTGGATTAATTAAAAAAAGATGAAATCGAACGGAACCGGATGGAATGCATTCCACCACATTCCATCATTTTTTGCCCCCTCCGATTTGGAAAGAATGACAAAATTATTTTATTCCGTCATGAAATACCTAAACAATGGAACGCCATTTTTATTCCATTACGCCATGTTCCACTCCGTTCGTTTTACAATATCCAAACATAGCCCAAGGGTCCGTTTGCTATGGAATATATAGAAAGTCATTTTGATATTTAATAATTTAGAGATTAATTTTTAGTTTATGATATATGACAGAACATGATGCTGTTTTTCAATCCATATAGCCGACTACATTAGTGGGATAAGCCGATAAGGCTTGGTTGTTGTTGTAAGGGTTATTTGTTGTCATCTAATTATATTCCACATACTGTGTCTAAAGGTTGGGATTTGTGAGCTTCCTTTTCATCCTATTAGCTCAGAAACAATTGGAGGAGTCGGTGGCACGTAAGTTCATTCAGACCTTATGCTAATTTCTCTACCAAATTTTTATTTGCTTGGTATTCAGAATATAATGGTTGTTTGTTTGTGACAGTTCCCATGTAATATTATTAGTTCTAAATCAATTGCCTTTACCGGCTTTGCTTCTTAGTTGTGTTATTTCTTATACGTAATTCTGAGTTGTTATATATTGATTTTCTATACACAGCATATTATATCTTTCTTTTTATTCTTTTTGTTTTATATCTTATTTAGGTTTTAGATTACTTTATTGTATATCTGATTTATTTTTATTGTAATTATAAGTTGTAAAGTTGTTTCTGTTACTTGAATTATAATTCTATATATTGTATATCTGTTTATGCTCTAAACAGTAAAATTTATCATCAATAAAATCTTTTTCAATAATTCAGATTTGTATTCCATCATCATCTTTTATTTTTATGACTTTATATGCCTTTCATTTTTGCACAAGAATAGTGTGATAAAGTGACTACATGTATGACATTATTGTTCAGCTCTTTTGTTGTCTGTTTGTCCTTCTTGCTCTACCCTGCCCAGAAATATCTTAATTAATGATATGCATTATTTATTTATTTCAAAGGTGTGTCATTCGTGGTTGTGTTCCCAAAAAGATTTTGGTCTATGGAGCATCTTATGGGGGTGACCTTGAGGTAATGATTAATTCTTGAGTTTCTCAGTAACAACTAGTAACATGGATTAGTTACTGGAGATATCGAGTGATTGTTGTGCTTTGCCCACTTCAGTTCTTTTGGTGCATTTCTGTAGAGCGAAATGGATTCATTTTTTCGAATGTCTCATTGCAGCAAAATTTGTTTTGGGATATTATTATGTTCTTAGTTTGTCTATGTGTTCTACCAAGGTTGTTTTCAGGGAGCATACATAACTGTAGGGCAGCGTAGTGTTGTTGCCGTCACTGTCCTGTTTCTTTTTGTTGTTCTAATGAATACTTTAGCTTTGTGATTGTGTATTAAGATTTCTAAAGGAAATGTGATCATCATTTGTCTTGTGTTTGGCGATTTAACAAACTTTACTGTGGTGATAGGATGCTAGAAATTTTGGATGGGAATTGAATGAGAATGTTGACTTCAATTGGAAGAAGCTCTTGCAAAAGAAGGTATTTCTAAATCATATTTATTGGTTTGAATAACACCATATTGGCTTCTGTACTTCGGAACCCCCTTAAAATGTACTAGTTTGAATAGTCTTTGGTTTTCTAGATGTTCCTTTGTTTATTTAAGGGCCTGGAGTTGAAAAGTAAGTGAAAGAAAATTGGAGAGTAATCTCTGAATGCTCAATAATGATTTCATCCATCATTTCAAATACTTTGGATATTTAACCAACTGAGCCTGATACTGACTCTAACTGATATAGGCTTCACTGACCTTGCAACTTCAAGATTATGATAGAGTCAGCTAAATTAGCTAGCGTAATGATTAGATATACTGAAAATGTACAGAGACATGATTACATTACATAGTCTGACTCTTAGTCTTTATAAGCTCTACACACATTTTCTCCAGCTTGTCGAATTTTATTGAGCAAAGCAGTTTATTAGTACCAGAAAAAAATAAAGGCTGTTTAGTTGTCTGTTGATCAATTATCTGTGCTTTGTCAAAATGCAGACTGATGAAATAAACAGATTAAATGGAATTTACAAGCGGTTGTTATCCAATGCTGGGGTTAAACTATTTGAAGGCGAGGGAAGGATAGCTAGTCCAAATGAAGTTGAGGTGACACAATTGGATGGCACTAAGTTGTCTTATTCAGCAAAGCATATTTTGATTGCAACTGGCAGCAGGGCTCAGCGTCCTAATATTCCTGGCCAGGTTGGTTTGCTTGTTTTAATACATCATTGTAAAGATGATGATTACACTTTTATTAGTATAGTAGGAATATGTATGTTCAGATTATGAATTTCTTCATATGAAATGTTGGAATCTAATCTGGACTTATATCTATTCCACTCTCACTCATTCTTGACAAATGACTGTTTTTATATTATGAAGTTCTTATTCTTAAGTCTTAACAAATAACTTTTGCAATAAAACTTTAGGACATGTAATGAATGTTGTTGATGTTGTCTGCCATTTCCTGTTTTGTATTATTGTTTGTGACTGTGGGGGTTGTTTTGCAGGAGTTGGGTATAACATCTGATGAGGCACTAAGTTTAGAGGAGTTTCCTAAACGTGCTGTGATTCTCGGAGGAGGGTGTGTCTTCATCTTCTTCTCATGTGTATTACAATAACTAAGGATTATCTTACTAATAAATTTTTTGTGTTTATGTTCAGTTATATTGCAGTTGAGTTTGCATCAATATGGCGTGGGATGGGTTCTAATGTCAATCTCGTTTTCAGAAAGGAACTTCCATTGAGGTGTGGCTCTGACATGAGTTGAAACTAATGAATTTTAATCTCTTTCATTTTGGATTGATACAATACAAAATATATATACGCACGCGCGCACACACACATACACACAAATTATAGAAACCATAGGAACTCCAATAATGTTGGCACCTCAAAATGTAATAACCATTTGCTGCACACCATTAATTTTTTATAAATGAAGAAAATAAGACAAAAAACATGTGGAATAGGAGTCCTGCCAGTAAAAACTAGGATAAACATTGCCAGAAGCTACTAGTTTATTATAGCATAGATGTGTAGAAAAGGTTGCAAGAAATGTCAGCAGTTGAATTAGTAGAATTTTTCACATGCCACTTACTATTAATATCCATTGGATTCAATATTCTTTCTTTTTTGTTTTGGGTTAACATCATTTTTTGCTTTCTGTTGTATAATTTTTCCATGCTTCATAAATTTCTGTTGCAGAGGTTTTGATGACGAAATGAGAGCTGTAGTTGCCAGAAATCTTGAAGGTAGGGGAATTAATTTGCATCCAAGGACAAATTTGACACAGGTATTGCCTTTTGTGGCTTGTTACTCGCATTTAATTTAATCAAGTAATTTTATAGAATGTGAAATTTTCATTTAATTTCTTATTTGGAGGCTTAGCTAATAGCAAAAAATTTCTTTTAGTTGATCAAAACAGAGGGTGGCATTAAAGTTATTACAGACCATGGTGAGGAGTTGATTGCAGATGTTGTGCTATTTGCCACTGGTAAGGATACAGATAACACAGACTTTTAAAATGTTTAGTTTCAAAAGGCTGATAGTGTTAGTATTATTATTTACAGTTTAGACTGTTGGATTTCTAAACACCTTTATGATCAACGTCAGAATTTATGTTAGCTTTAGAAGAAGAAGAATTCATTAAGAATATCTTTGTGAATTCCAAAATTTGGTGGTGTCTTTCTATATTATCATTTTCATAAGTCTGTTTGCTAATAATTGGTAACCTGATTGGATCATATGATTGATCAAATTTTACACCTTACCACAGAATTTGATAGAAATAGGTAAAGAGAGAGAATGAAAAGAAACTCTCATTGTATTATCTATATAACAGTAATACAAGAGGCTACTTTATATAGCCATGTGATACAAAGCAGAAAAGGTGTGAGGCCATAACACGCTAACAGCACACCACTAACAAACCTGACAGCTCAGCAAAACAGAATAGAAAGATAAAATGAAGGGCATATTAGTAAACTACTCTATTAGTCCCCCTTAGAAGCTGATGGCAGACTTGTCAAAGCAGCCTTATCATACACACGCAACTTGGAACGAAGAGGAACAAAGTTGGCAGCAGAGAGGGGCTTAGTGAGAATGTCAGCCCATTGATCTTGAGCTGGTACATGAACAACAGTCAGACTTTTGCTGAGTACTTTCTCTCGCAGAAAGAAAATATCAAGCTCCATATGCTTAGTCCTGTTGTGAAGAATAGGATTGTGAGCCAAAGTAACAGTGCTCAAGTTATCACACAAGATCTTAGGAACTTGAGAGGAATGATGGAGTTCCTTGAGCAAGGACTGAATCCAAATGAGTTCAGCAGCTAGCTGAGCCATACTGCGATATTCCGCTTCAGCACTGGACCTTGCAACAAGCTGTTGCTTCTTGGACCACCAGGAAACAACATTAGGCCCAAGATATATGCAGGCCCCTGAAGTAGATCTCCGGTCATCAGGGTCTGATGCCCAGTCTGCATCACAGAACCCTAGCAACTGCATTGGTTGCTGAATAGGAGCAGGCTGAAGGAGAAGACCATGGTGCAGAGTACCACTTAGGTACCTTAAGATTCTTTTAACAGCCTTCCAATGATCCTCTAAAGGATTGGACAAAAACTGACAGACTTTGTTGACTGAAAAAGAGATCTCTGGCCTAGTTAAGGTAGCATATTGAAGGGCACCAACCACAGACCGAAACTGAGTAGGGTCATCAACCGCAGCAGACCCAACCTTGGACAATTTGCTGCTAGAGACCATGGGAGTAGGCATGCCATTGGCATTCAACATATTAAGCCTTGAAAGCAAATCTGTGATGTACTTAGTCTGAGATAAGAGAAGAGAACCATTAGGGAGATGAGTCACTTGAATCCCTAGGAAATAATCAAGTTGTCCCAGCTGTTTGAGAGAGAAAGAATTATTGAGATGCTTGATCAAGGAAGCTATAAAAGGAGCAGAACTACCCGTGATGATTATATCATCAACATAGACCAGAATTAGAATCTGAAGTTTACCTTGATGCAACAAAAACAAGCTAGGATCACATCTACTAGCCTTAAACCCGAGTTGAACCAAGGCACACTTTAGCTTATCAAACCAGGCCCTAGGAGCCTGTTTTAAACCATAAATAGCCTTATTTAACTTGCAAACAAGAGTTCTGTCAGCAACTTCAAAGCCAGGGGGCTGTTGCATAAGGACTTCTTCTTCAAGAGTGCCATAGAGGAAGGCATTGTTAACATCAATCTGCTGCAATGGCCACCTGTTTGTAACAGCAATAGAAAGAACAATTCTCACAGTAACAGGTTTAATGACAGGAGAAAAAGTCTCTTGAAAATCATCACCAGCCTTTTGATGGAACCCTTTAGCCACTAATCTGGCTTTATACCTGTTTATGGAACCATCAGGATTCTCCTTAGTCCTGAACACCCACTTACATCCAATAGGCTTCCTTCCAGCAGGAGCTTTCACCAAAGTCCAGGTCTGATTTCTCAGCAGTGCCTGATGTTCTTCCTTCATGGCCTGAAACCAGTTAGGAGCAGCCAAGGCTTGCTCAACAGAAGTAGGTTCAAGGTGGGCTATTAATAGAGTAGGGTGAAGTCTAGGAAGAGTGATTCCTCTTTTGGCTCTAGTTTGCATAGGGTGGATGTTTTGAGGGTGAATGGAAGGTAAAGCTGTGGCAGCAGGGTGGGAAATAGGACTAGGGCCAGGGGAGGGACCAACTAAAGGAGAGGAATATGAAGAGGAGGGAGAAAGAGTGCTAGCTTCAGCTGGATCAGAGAGAATGAGGGCAGGAGAGGAAGAAGGAGAAGAGGTAATGGGAATGGCAGTGAGAGGTTGAGGGATAGGTTGCTGACCAGAAGAATAAGAGTTGTTAGAGGGAGCAGCAGAGGAAGAGGAAGAAGAGATTGGAGAAAAATTAGAAATAGTGGGACTGCTAAGTTGAGGAAAAGCAGAATTTGAGGAAGAAGAAGGCATAGAAGACAGATTAGAAGTAGAGGGAGCAGAGGGAACAGGAGGAAAACTGAGAGAGGGAGAGGAAGAGGATGGAGTGTTAGGAAGAGAGACAGATTTTGAAGAAGAAACCAAGGTGGAATAAGGAAAATTTGCTTCATTAAAAACAACATCCTTGGAAATAAAAATGCGACCATCTGAAGCAAGGCATTTATAGCCTTTGTGAGAGGTAGAGTATCCAAGGAAAATACACAGTTGAGATCTAAAATCAAGTTTATGAGAATTATAGGGACGGAGAAAAGGATAACATGCACAGCCAAAGACTTTAAGGATAGTATAGTCAGGGTTTTTGTGAAGTAATTTAAAATAAGGTGAGACATTGTCAAGTATAGGTGTAGGAAGTCTGTTAATGAGATATGCAGCGGTGACAAAGGCATGATCCCAGAATTTTAAGGGAAGGGTGGACTGAGCAAGGAGTGTGAGACCAGTCTCAACAATGTGCCTGTGCTTACGTTCAACAAGGCCATTTTGGTGATGTGTATGGGGACAAGTGAATCTGTGAACAATCCCTAAATCTGTGAGATATTTGGTAAGAGGCCTAAACTCACCTCCCCCATCAGTTTGGACACATTTAATGGGACAATTGAACTGAAGTTCAACCATTTTCTTAAACTGAAGAAATTGAACCATGGTGTCAGACTTAAGTTTGAGAGGAAAAACCCAAACAAACCTAGAGAAGGCATCAATACAGGTTAGGAAATAGGTATAACCACTGGAAGATTGCATAGGGGCAGGACCCCAAAGATCACATACAACCAGCTCAAAAGGATGAGAGTAAACTGTGGTAGATAAAGAAGAAGGAAGTCTATGAGACTTGCCAATGCAGCAAGCGTGACATAACTCAGCAGGGGGTTTAGATGGAAAGGATTGATTACACAGTTTGAAGATTTCAGTGAGGGCATGATGATTGGGGTGTCCCAGCCTAGTATGCCAAAGCACATATTTATTGGATGCAATAGAATTTGCAGCATTAAAGTGTGAGGAAGGTAAAACAGTACTGACAGAGTTTAGAGAAGGATTGAAAAAGGTACTTGTAACATTATAATTGCAAGATTCATTACAAGAAGACAAAGGATTTATAGTATGATTTGCAACAGATTCAGTACACTGAGATATAGAATCTATAACATCCGTCCTATAGGAAGTATTACAATTGTATGCTGCAGGATAACTATGACTAGAACTATAAGAGGAAGAAGATTTGGACAACGGAGGAGCAGCTGGATTGGAGAATTTATAGAGGCCATCAGCACCAACAAGACCACTGAGTAAGACTTCAGAAGTAGCCTGAGATTTGACAACACAAAACTTAGGATGAAATTCAAAAAATACAGAATTATCTTGAGCAAATTTGCTCACACTCATAAGGTTTTTGGTGATGTGAGGGACATGTAAGAGATTGTTAAGAGTGAGAGATAGATGAGGTTTGTGAGGTAAGGGAAAAGACATAGAACCTACAGAGTTGATGGACAAACCTTGGCCGTTACCTATGAAAACTTGTTCAGTTCCAGGCACGGAGGCAGAGTCAGACACATTAGAGGCATCAGGAGTAACATGATGAGAAGCTCCTGAGTCAGGATACCACCACTGGTTTGCACTGCTAGCTTCAGTACCTGCATAAAAGGCTTGTGGTGCAGAAGATCTGGGAGGCGCAGCTCTGGGAGAAGCATAAGCAAGCTGCACAGGATAAACAGCACGAGGAGCCACGTGAAAAGGATTGAAGGGAGCTCGATGATGTGGATAACTAGCACCACTTGAATTGGCATAACGATAGTAGCATACTGAAGCATCATGACCAGGTTTGTGACAAATCTGACACGGTGATTTCCCAAAACGACCTCCTCCACGACCAAAACGACCACCACCGCGACCAGAACGACCACCACGTGCACCATAGGAATGATTTTCAGCATTAGCGGTGACGTGACTCGTTCCTTGAGGAAACGCCTCGGAGATGACTTGATCAGAAGCGACTGGAGTGGGAGAAGGTGTTGCTTGAGTGAGATTGATCGTCGCCGTCGCCGGTTCTGTAATCGCAGCTTTGCGATGCTTCTCCAATCGCGACTCATGAGCAAGCAAGGAAGACTCCAACTCTTCCAAGGAGCTAACGTCATCTTTGCTGTTAACGGCGGCGACAATAGAATCATAATCCTCAGGTAACGAATCAAGAACAATCTCAATTAGGTTACGAAGAGGAACGGGATCACCGATGGAGGTTAGCGACTCACTGATGTCACGTGAACGCGTCATAAGCTCAGTAATCGTTAGTGAACCCTTCGTAAGACGCCGGAGTTCTGAACGAAGTTGACGAGCCTTGGTGGAGAGAAGAACATCAAAGTACCGATGAACTTCTGTCCACACCTGCCACGCATGCTTGCAGTCAACGAGCTTAGGAAGGAGAGCATCGGAGATGGTAGAGAGAAGCCAGGTGCAAATGAGAGCATCCTGCTGTTCCCACTCAAGAAACGCACTGTGAGATGCAGGATCTGAGGGAGACGGTGGCGGAATCACCGGAACAGTGACAAAGCGTTGAAGACGATGACCACGGACGACGCCATCAATCTGCTGCTTCCACTGTTTGAAATTCTTGTCGTCAAGCTTAACAGAAATTAGGTGAGAAAGTTTCACCTGAGAGGAAGGGAATAAAGGTTCCATGGATCGGAAAAAAATTATGCTCTGTATACCATGATAGAAATAGGTAAAGAGAGAGAATGAAAAGAAACTCTCATTGTATTATCTATATAACAGTAATACAAGAGGCTACTTTATATAGCCATGTGATACAAAGCAGAAAAGGTGTGAGGCCATAACACGCTAACAGCACACCACTAACAAACCTGACAGCTCAGCAAAACAGAATAGAAAGATAAAATGAAGGGCATATTAGTAAACTACTCTATTAGAATTGGAGTGTCAGACTTGCTCAAGTTTATATTTTCATTGATCTGAAGCGAAGTTTTTATTTACTTATTTGTCTTTTGTTTTTTTCTTGAACGGGTAGAAAATATCGTGCAAATTTATCTCATGGAACATTTGCTTACTGCATTTAAAAGGATTATTCTAGCAACAAACTCTCTTGACACACTTCTCATTTCAATATACTTTTTTTATTAATTGAAATCCCATGTATCCCATGTATCCCATCAAAATTATGTAGAATCCACATGATTTAGTGAGACTAACTTGAATTTTAGCTAATAGTAGAAACTTTGCGAGAAGTGTTGCTTGTACTTGCTCTTCTGAAATAATTATTCATGTAATCCTGAGTGCTCTTTTGTTGCTGCAGGTAGGGCTCCTAATTCTAAGAGGTTAAATTTAGAAAAAGTGGGTGTAGAGTTTGATAAGGCGGGAGCAATAGTGGTTAGTAGCTGTCTCTGTTATCATCTTTGTATTCTTCAAGTTTCCATGAAGTCTAAAAAAACGTGTTTTGTTATCAAGCTGCGAAAACCATATTTTAGTTATTGAGTTGTCTAGTCTACTGTGCTGTTATTGAGTTGTCTAGTCTACTGTGCTGTTATTAATATTAAGAGTTCGTGAGGAATTGTATAATAGCATGAAATGTGTATATCAAGTTCTCAGCGCCTGCTCATTTAAGCTTTTAAAAAAAGCTGATCATAAGAATGTGTTATAAGGCGATTATAAGGCGATTTCCTGGGTTATAAAAAAGCTGCTCTTTATGTGATTTTACAAAATGTAGAAGTCATTATTTGTTGGGTTACAATTATTTATTTTCGTTATAAATATAAACACTGCCTTTGGTCCTTAATATAAGAAAAAAATACTTTTTATTTTCATTGAAGAACTAATGTATCTGAACTATTATGTAGTCCACATACATTAATTCTTCAATGAATCTAAAAAGTAACTTTTTCTTATAAAGGACTAGAGGGAGTAGTTCTTTTTCCCTTTCTTGAAGCTACTTATATAGTAAAATGGAGTTCTTTACTTCTTTTTCTTCATAATTCTGTTTAATTTAAAAAGATTAAGCAATATTATAAAACCTTTTTAAAGTGGTTTTCTGGATCTCGCGGTGAATTCCATAAGATCCTGCCCAATTTACATCAGGATAGGCAACAATATCTTTATTCATACACTAGTCCTTTTCCAAGTAATGCTTCAATGAATCTCAATATTTCAACCACTACATAATCATTTAATTGAAGATTCAATGGGTGTGAGTTTGGAAAATAGAGTAAAACAACATAAACTCATTAAAGGAATCACTGGTATTTGTTTTAAATGCTTAGATCTCGGAGGCTACAATTTATTTGCTTTATCTTGGGTTTGAATATTGATTATTAGTTACCGAAGTGCGTAATGTAGCGTTGTCTTCTATTTTTTTAGCTTTTATATGCCTGGTATGAATTTCTTGTCATGTTTCCTTAGACTTCGACATAGTGACCACATGATCCATTATAGCATTTTGGGGGTGAGCTGATATGCTCTGCTAATCACCATTGACTATATAGGAAGTTGTAAAAGTTCAGTTGCTAGTGAATGACTATGAGTCACAGTGACACAGTTCTAAATCTTTTGAGTTTCTTTGTTTAGGTAAATGAGTATTCACGCACCAACATCCCTAGCATATGGGCTGTGGGTGATGTAACCAACCGGTTAAATCTTACCCCGGTGGCCTTGATGGAAGCATCACTCTTTGCAGTAAGTTTTATGATATTTAGTTGAGCAGCAGAATTGTTTATGTTTTGGATTGGAAAGGGAGGTGTGGGAGATTGGTTGGTTGGTTATACAATGATGTTATTTATTGTTGTTTAACATGGATTTATCTTGCTTTATTTGGATTTATTCAGAAAACAGTATTTGGTGGTCAAGCAAGCAAGCCAGACTATAATGCTATTCCATATGCAGTGTTTTGGTATAGTTGCATTTACGTGATAGAGCTTGGCAGCTTTAAACTACTATGAATATGTTTACTTATGATAATATAGCTGCTTCTTTTCTTCTGCTTAATTTTATCTTTTACTGTTTCTTGGATTAATATATGGCTCATTATTTTTGGTTCTGCAGCATTCCACCACTTTCAGTAGTTGGTCTAAGTGAGGAGGATGCAATAGAGCAAACAAAGGGCGATATATTGATTTTCACATCAACCTTCAATCCTATGAAAAATACAGTTTCTGGGTAAGTAGTAATGTGTGAAAATTTCCAAGTGCTGTATGGTTTACGAAATAGTATAGAAATGTATTGCATACGCAAGGATTATTTTTATCCGTATCAGCTAACTATAACTAATTATCAGCTATCTCAAATTTCTTTTTGTAGTCCTTATTAAAATAATTGCAAGTTTTAGTCCCTACAAAATTATTATGCACGTAGTTTTAGTCCCTGTTGTTAAACCAATGTGTATTTTTAAATGATTATTTTGTAGACTGTATAGAACGTTATAAAAAGTTTCTTGAAAAAAAAGAAATTCAAAATTTGATTTCTAAGTCGAGATTTTCATTATTTTTATCAATATCTTTTGAAATTAAAAAAAATTATATTTAATTCTTCTCATTTTAAAAAATTCTAAAATTTGATAAAGAAACATTTTATAGTATTCTAAACACGTATGAAAAATATTATTAAAAAATTTAAAAGTTTAAGGGTAATTAAACAGTTTTTAAAATTTTAGAAAATTGTAGGGACTAAAACTAGACGAACAAAAAATTTTTAGGGACCAAAATTTGTCATTTTTTTAATAGGGATTAAAAATGAAATTTGAGATATTTATAAAGATAAAATACATATTTAACCCATTATTAGAAGAGAAAATATTTTGGTGAAGGAAAAGTTGTAACAACATAAAATATTAACAAATAAAATTAATTATATAAATACAAAAGAAGTCAGATTGAGTTGCCCGATTATTGTTAATGCTATCAAGAGGAAATTTTTAGGATCATGTTAACCAATGATGCAAAGGATGAAAAATCAGTCACATCTAAATGAAAAATTAGTCATCTCTAAATGAGCTACAAATGCATACAAAACAAACATAAAATATCATTAATATTACAAGTGCATCATGTTGTGTTTTGGAATTTTTACACCCTCTATGCTCATTGGAAACCATTGACTTGCATAGTTGAATATAATTTGGATGAGAGCTTTTATTGGAAATATTTTTTGGTGCATAGATTTTAAACCCTTTGTGCATCTAGTGATTTATGATATTTTTTCAATAGGCGGCAAGAAAAAACTGTTATGAAGCTTGTTGTTGATGCTCAGACCGATAAAGTTCTTGGGGCATCTATGTGTGGGCCTGATGCACCTGAAATTCTTCAGGTACACTATTATTACTTCACATTCTTTGCTATCTATGATGCCTCTGCTATCTATGTTGTCAATTGTTTAGGAGCCTATACATTTCCATTTCATCAAATTGTTATTTGTAATTGTGGGGCTCATATTGGCACAAATAATATAAAAGTCAACATGGACACACAAGTTGCCCTAAAATTAGAGGGCTATGAAAGGAAAGCGAAGTAGAGAGTTGTGAAAAATAGGATAGGTGATAACTGAGTTTTAGTCAGTTATGGTTTTGGGAGGGGCTACCTGTCTGCAGGGATAGAATTTCAGGTGAGTTGTGTGTAGGTATAGACGCAGAGAAGATTTTTTTTAGTGAATTTCAGGTTAGAATAAAAGGAAGAAAGAACACACCCATAGGACTCTTAAACGCCAATGGTATTCTATTATTTGAAACATGTTGCTGTAAGAATGACTTGTCATTTTTTGTTGCTAATAGTGCTTGTGTCAGTATGAAAGATGCAACTTATCCTAGTTGCTCGACTTATTTGTTTGATAATTTTTTAAGTATGCCTTTTGGGCCTATATTGTCATGCTGATTTACGCCACTGTCTTTTACAAATGCTTCCCTTTTTCTTTTCTCTAAGGGTTGAGTGGTTGTTGACTGACGATTTTATCTTTTTCTATTTTGAAATTGTCTCCCTTTCCTACCTTCCCGAGAACATGACTGCACATCACACTGTTAACATTTCAACATGACAATCTTCCAGTAACTAGAATATGATTATTATAGCAACTATAGGTGTATGCACATGGAATTCCTAATGTACATTTACTAAATCTTGTAAAATAATAAACTAGAAAATAAGGGTGATTGAGAAGTTTATTCTTACATTTTTGAATGCTCCTTTTGTCTTGGCAAATGTAAATTATGAAAGTTACACGATTACTGTTCACTTTGCATTGAAGGAAATTTTCCTACTTCTCCATCCTAATCCCCAATTTTGTTTCAGTTATAACAAATAGTAACATGATCATTGACATATCTATCTTGTTGTATGGATCCTTCTCCACAAATTAGCTATGTTTGTGACTGGACTTCTATAAGTTATTTCTCATGGTTTATTTCAACAGGGTATTGCTATTGCATTGAAGTGTGGAGCTACGAAAGCGCAGTTTGATAGCACCGTAAGTTTACATTTTTCTTGATTATCCTGGCCTGTCTTTTTTTAGGACAGTTATAGGATGTAGTTGCATCTCTACCCTCTTTGCATGACAAACCAAGTCGTTCATCTTGTGCTTCATCAATATACTCTTGCCCGGACAAATCCCAAAATAAACCTTAAAATTGCTTGTGTTAACATCATTGAAGTTGCTTTTATCCTTTCTTTTCCACATCCCATTCCTTTGAGCTAAATACACCCAACAAAGCTGCTTTATAAATGTGGGACTCCCACTACTGGGCGTGCCAATTGCCAAAACATAAGTTTATAAATGAAAACAATTCTCACCTTACAAATCGGGTTTTTAGAGTTGAGTCAGATTAACATAAACGGTGGAAGATCTAGTTACACTAGGCCTAATTAAATGTAAATCTCTTTTGTTTTGTGATGGTGAATTGGAGTACTCTGGTCTCCATTAATAGATTTGCTTATTAAAAAAATAGGTGGGGAAAAGAGTTATCCTGATTAATTAGGTATTAACAAATAATGCAACAACTGAGTTCTAATTACTTTGCTCTTTTATGCAGGTGGGAATACACCCATCGGCTGCAGAAGAATTTGTGACCATGCGCACAGAGACAAGGCGTGTTACTGGTGGTGTGAAGCCAAAGACAAACTTGTAAACCTGTTTTGATTAGTTAATTAAATATAAAATAAGATCAAATCATATTGGTCAGGACTTATGCACATGTTTCTTTTCTTGGGCATAGCCCTTTCGATTTTGTAAAAGTTTAGTATTCTAAATATAAACTATGTTGTTGATAGTGTAGCTGCAATACTAGAACAACAAGAGTATTCTTTGCAAATTTCCTTTTCTTGGAAACTTTGTTATGATGTAATAGAGAGTAGTTGTTATGCAACTTGTCATTGATCTGTTACAGCTATATGCCAGCTGTAAAGTTAGTTAGAGCTAAGGCTACTTTATATACCATGCCTTTGTACTCTTTCCATCTAAGATCAATATATGAGATTTTCATCATTCTTTCTGTCTGATACTGTAGTGAAATGCAAAAAACAAGTTGTTTTTTAGTAATTATAAGTCATATTCAAATGAATTTCAAAACTCTAAATGAGAATATAATCACTTAAAGCTCCACCTACACAGTACCATACTACAAATTTGTTACAAATGTCTTTCTTGATTATTAAAAAAATAAATAGCATCTTCGGTTCATCAAAACAAAATCAAAACTGCATCATAACAAATGTTCTTTTATACAAGAACTCTTGAATGCAATGACATGATTCTTTTGTACCTTAGTCATTAACAAAAAGATAAATTGCAACTTCAATATATCAATAAAACCAAAACTATATCATCATAATAAATGTCACAACTTTGACCCAAGATGAGATGACATAAATCTTTTAACATTCGTACTCAACAAGAGTCTAATAATATTATTATAGTGTTGAGTGATAAAATGATATTTATAGTATATTTGAGCACAAACTTTTAACATAAATAAGCTAATAATGTTAACTTTAAAGTAAGTTTCAGAATTGCAAAGTAAAGTTATTAACATTGATCAACAAACAAACTAGTAAGAACAGTGATCATTCATACATGGAAACCATTGTAAGTGTCTTCGTAAACAAATAATTCCTCATTATATATATAATTTGTTCGTGAGCTCCTTACTTTCTTCCAAATATTTGAACAATGTAGATAGTGCAATAGAATCATTCTGTGTCTCTCTCTCAACCAACCATTCGTCATAAAGCTTAACATTTATGTCCCTGCCAATTTTCAATACATCAGAAACAAATTAAAAACTTTAACAAAGAGACACCAGACACGTCACTCACATTGTCAACACCACTAATAATTTGAAAAAAAAAGAATTAATTAACATTACATGTGTCAGTGTAGTGCTGATGTCAGATAGGGACATATGACACGTCTTTGATCACAAGTGACAACGTTAAATAAAACATCAATACCTTTTCAAGGCAAGAACTTCATAGTTTCGCCGTAGGTAATCAGCATACTTTTTAAGGGCATCTTGTGCATATGGTCTTCCCACAGTCCTTACTGCGGCCGCATTTAATAAAGCTTCCAACGAACCGTGCTTTTTAATAAGTTTTAGCGCGGTTTTCCAACCAAAATTAGGGACCAGGTGTTGGATACCCGGAACACCGTCAACTTCATCGCCTATAATACATCCTACACAGTTACATTATACATTAACATAAATGTCAAAGTTAATTGTATCAAACATGAATATAGGTATAATGTGAGATATATTAATTACTCACTGAGGCTCAGATCAGATTGGGGGTCGCAATTATACTGATTTCTGTAGTGTCTCATAGTGTAGAAGGACCACCTTTGTAATTCTGGCAAAGGCATAACTATTTCCACATTGTCAGAAATAAGTTGCTTAAAATCCTTATCAGGGGAGGCAATCACCACTTGGAACCCTTTTTTGAGAACTTGCTCGGCAAGTGTAGCTACAACATCATCAGCTTCATGGCCATCAACTTTTACAACCTATATGATATGATTTCATTTAGTCATAATGAATAATGGATTGAATAAAATTAAGTTGACTAGATATGTAGTTTTTGCTTATGTTTATTAGAATGAAATCTGCTTATTCTTCCAACGTGATTGACAATATTAACAGTCACTTAAGCACATTCTTCTCCATCAAAAACTGGAACCAATTTTCTCAAACTGCTCCTAACTCTCATCCTTTCTAATTTTGTCATCCACGGATCTTAGCTTTGATACCAATTGGGCATGAACAAACACAAACTAGTATCGATCTAATTGCTTTGACAAACGCAAAGTAAGTATCCTTTGATCAATTGTTCGTGAGTAAACGATGAGAATGACTTCGAAGGGTGGGACATAACATAAGTCTGTTTGCAAAAATGAAGGAAATGAGAGCATCCTCTACTAAGATGGGAATCACCCCCCAAAATACTCAATCCCAAAATCTTCCACTTCACACTTCCCAAGCCCCCTTTTCATCCCCCATTATAGAGCTTACATAAATCAGTGTTGTCAATGCAAATTGTAGAAAACAATGGTTTGATCAATTTCCGCTACTCAACATGTCTGTCATTGAGGGCCTACAAGACAATCTACTGCATAGGGCCCAAAATTTGATAGATTAAACTATGTCAGTCTTAAATTGTGGAAAAATAGAGCCCCCGTTAGTTTTGTCATAGTTAAAAAACCTACACAAGATCTCTGAAAACTTAAGACGACCGTGGTACTCAACACTGCAATGGCGCCACTACTTGACAACATTTGTGTACTAAACAGCCTATCGCGATTAGTCCAAATTCCTCATGAACACTTCCCAATCCACAAAAACCCCAAGCATGCAATTAAATTTTGAACAACAATAAAAGCATATACATAAAAATATTCCACAGAAATGTAAACTAGCAATGGTAATTGCGATGATATAGAAGAAAAAAAATTCACTCACAGGCACATTGCATTTTCTAAGAACATCGCTGATAACTGGAAGAAACCTTCCAACAAAACCATCACCATAACCACCACCACCTGTTGAAAATTTTCTGGTGAATTTTATCCGATTTGCCTTATAAGAAGGAAGCAACTTTCTCCGATGTTCACTTCCCCTTTCACCGTCAACGACAGCTATAACAGGGTGAGTTTGAGTGACTTGAGGAGACAGAAAAAGTGAAAGCCATCGAGCAAAACAATGCAAACTAGGTTTACTTTCGTTGTAACAAAGAGGGTTCACGTCTAAAAAGAATACCTTTTTGATTTTTGGTTTTGGGTTTGCGTTTCCGTTTCGCGTGACGGTGGCGGTGGTGGAGGTGGGTGCGGATGTTGTTATTGGAGTTTCGCTTTGAGGTTTGTTGAAGGACACTGAAGAAGAATGAGAAAATGCAGAAGATGAAGAAGAAGAAGGGTTGAAGTTGGAGGGGTGAATGAAATTGAAAGAATGTGATAATGATAATGTTTTCATCTGCTTCTATCTCAATGTTTTCTTTCTTGTCTTCTATGTCCCCAACAAAAACACAAAAACAACACTTCACAATTTTCTTTCATTTCGACTTTTATTTTTTTATTTTTTATTTAGATTTTATTTTTTAAAAATAAAATAGCAAGAGACTCGTAAGTTCGCACGAATTGCACAATGTTGTTATAAATAACAAATAAAGAATGGAATTTTCTAGGAAGTTTATGGACTGAATCATGATTTCGGTGACCACTGTGACTTTCAGATTTAATCTGAATGGGGGCGCTTTCTAAGAGTATAAAGTCCAAGAGGACTATTAGGCAAGGAGATCCCATTTCCCCTTACCTTTTCACCATTGTCATGGAGTATATGAGTAGGTGTTAGTTAGAATCAAATTTTAATCACCATGTTAAGTGTGAAAAGATGTCTCTCACCAACCTGATTTTTACTGACAATATCCTCCTCTTTTCAAGGGGGGATGTGGGCTTTATTGACCTCTTGATCTAAAATCTTAATAAGTTCACTAACTCGATTGGGATGTGTGTGAATTTTAACAAAAGTCAGATTTTCTTTGGTGTTGTTGACAAAGTTACGAAGGAGAGTATTCTAAAACTTACCTCGTTCGTTGAAGGTAGACTTCCATTCTGTTACCTTGGGGTCCCTCTTACATGTAAAAAACTGTGTGTTAGTCATTATATGCAGCTCATCGACAAAATTGTGTGTAGAAGTGTAGAACTAAGCATCGGTCTACTCATTTGTTGAGTTTCACGGGCAGACTCCAATTGATCAAAAGTATCTCCTTCGCTATTGCTAACTACTAGATGTCCTGCGTCCCGTTGCCAAAAATTGTTATAAAGAAAATTGAGGCCATTTTCTGTTTGTTCCTCTGGACTGGGAAAGAGACTATGAGCAGGAAGAGCCCTATTGCATGGCAAAATGTTTGCAGACCCCGTAAATAGGCAGAATGTTTGCTGTGGAATTTGTGTAACAAGAAGGATAACTTATAGGTTCGTTGGATTCACGTTTATTATTTTAAAAACCAAAACATCATGGAAGCCAAGGTGAAGCATGATGGTACATGGATTATGAGTAATATTCTTCTTCAAAGAGAGCTTATTAGGAAAATTCAGCAGACATGAAATGATATGTTTTTCTCATGGTAAATTCAGGATGAATAAAGTCTATAATATCTTGATTAAAGCTCCTACAACGGACTGGCATAACCTTCTGTTTAATAATTTGGCACGTCCGCGTGCTACTATGATTCTTTGGATGGCTTGTCATAGGAAGTTAGCCACTAAAGATAGACTTTGTAGATTTGGGATGTTGAACAAGTTTTGTTGCAGTTTTCGCTCAAAAGAGGAATCGATAGACCATCTATTTTATGAGTGTGTAAAAATGAAGCATATTTGGGTTGCTATCCTTAACTGGATTCAGATTACCCATAATCCTAAGTGTTGGAGAGAGGAATTACATTGGATTTTGCTTCATAGTAAGGGCAGGGGTTGGTGGGCCTCTTTATTAAAATTGGCAGCGACGAAAACCATCTATGGTGCATGGAGATATCAGAATAGTCATTGCTTTGGTAATCCTGTTAATAAGTAATGCTTATCCATCAAATTATTGATATCATTGTGTTTAGAGGTTGGTATAACACTAAGTTTAAGAATCAT